CACATGAGTCAGAGAGCTGCTTCGTATTTAATTACGTTTTGTACCTTGTTAAAATAAACGGAGTCTTGCTCTGCCTTTTTGTCCCTGAGAGCTGCGGCCGTAATCAGATACTTGGAGAGTGCGAAGTGGTCCATTCTGCAAACGTTCATTCCTCTCTTGGGACGGACAAAAAACCCTGGGGTGCTCTTTCGGAATTCTAGGAGCCGACTACAACCATATGAAACGTCGGGGTGGTTTGATTGTAGCGTCCGTTTTTCTCGGTCGCGTCTTGACTTTTTGGGCCAAACGCAGGCGTCGCGTTTTTCACCTGGTCCGGCCGTCTACGATTACCATGGGCGCTAATTCAGTCGGGAAGATTGTCTTGTGTAGCTTACATTCCGCCCTCTGTAATTGTCTTGGGCAATGCGCCTGGTTTCGTCGAACACGGAACCGGCTCTGCCGCGTGAAAGCCGTGGTCGTGGCCAGGTATAGCGTCGTACTCGCGCTAAGCCTAGGCGCTGTCATACTCAGCAGCCGACGCACCACGTCGACTGGTCAAATCCAGATAAAGTCTCGAAAAATGTCCTCACTGTGAAAACGGTGATATGCTCGCGAAGAGCGCTGGAGGGCCGTTCACAAAAGTACACAAACTTTGCGCTAATTGTCAAGAGGATGGCTGAAATCACGTTAAGTGAAAGCCGACACTTACATGTCAGCCAGGGGCACTCCCCCTCGTGGTAACTTTCGAACACACCTGAAGGCATCATTAAAAGCGACATATTTTTTTTTTCATTAGATGTGTCCAAGGAGAGATTGGCGCCTATTCATGACTCCGGCCACTCCTCTTCCTTTACGTAATAATTTGCGTCACGAACTTATGAATCACAGTAGTGTAGACGTGATCCTAGCTTTGCCCGTACTGAGCTCTCCCAGTGTAGTGGTATTATTGAGAGATACATTGTTGTTGCTGTTAGGTTTGCCTCATCCAGCGATTCGAACGGGTTAATGAAGCCATACTTAGGTGTCCCATGTCACTTAGTATCCATAGTTTGGAAAAGGTCCAGTATATTTGAGTATGTTTGCTTTATGCGCATTCAAGATACGATATTCAAATTGAGGTAATTAACACGGCTAGATTCAATCAACTTACGCACGCACAATTGTAAAGTGGTTTTTGCCTTAGTACAATAGTGTTAAAATGAAAGTGTGCTTTAGGGTAACGAACAAAACACTCTTACTCAGTCGGTCAAGAACTACGTTCGAAAAAGTGGCGTTCACTTCAAGATGCAGGCCATTTCAAATTAACGTCACATGTCCTAGCTTTTGAGCTGACGGTTGTCGGGTTTATAGTTGTCAGTTGACAATTCTGAAATGATAGTGCTGACGGTTGTTTGGCTTTGTCACAGTACTATTGGGTATTGCACAAAGCCTGCTTTAAGTTGTTGGCATCACTACATCATGGAAAGGCTCCAAAAGCACAAGGTCACTGGAAAGAGAGACTTGCCCGTGTCTTTATGTTTTCTGCGTCATTCCATAATGTAATACTGCAATAGATTAACAAACTGGAGTACTCGCCGTGCAAGTACCGACAGGCGGCAGTCGGATCGATGTGCAGCTGGTCCACGTTTCCCTGTAGAACCATAAAGATAGGGTTAAATAAAAGTTAGTGATAACTAGTCAGTTGATCGAGCAATAACCTCGACCAACAGGCGCATTGTGCGGTGCCTGTGGTATTTCGAGAAGCGCGCAATGACACCAGAGGTCGGCGCGTTTCTCGGACTGCCAGATAAGGGGCTGACACAATTTGATGATTCGCATCGGCGTTCACTGTGTCGGCATGCTCCGATTAGCCCACGTGACGTCTTTCTTTCTCGCGCCTTAGTCGTTGTACGAATGCAGGTTCACGTTTAACGGTAAGGAATCGCTGAGAAAGAAATCAGATAGACGAAGAAAGTGAGAGAGAGTTAAGAGAGTTAGGGAGAGAAAGAGAGCGCGTATTGCCAAAGAGGTGAGCTGGGGAAAGCTAGGCACGTCGTGCCGTCAGGACATTAGTTTGGACGCGCCTGATGAATTGCGAGATAGGCGAGTCGACGCTGCTGTCTATCTTACTTCGTGGCCTGCGCGCACGCATCCACGCGAACGAGTTACTCGCAAATAGACAGCATCGGGGCAATGGTAACGGCTAGCGGGACACTGGAAGACTGTATTTCTGGCATATAGCAGTTCGTGGTGGTTTAACGCGTGCCGCGAAAGAAAATAAATAAAAAAAATGCTGGTCAGACATAACTACAGCGCTGCGGTACACGCGGACATTGACACAAGACTTGGTAATGAAACATTTCGTCACATCACACGAATAGTCGTTTTTTTACGACAGACATTATACAGCGGCGTACTTTCATTAATACTGCAGAGTGCATGGATCAGTGAAACATGGCTGAGAAGAGGGCCGACGTGGAGGAAAGAGTTACAATTTCATGGCTTGCTGTTTCGGAGTGTGGCAGCTTGGGCTAGTTGGTATGGCATGACGATAGTTATAGCGTGAGAACAAAACGACGACACAGAGACAAGAAGGACACGAAAGACACGAGCGCTGATGTCTCGTGTCTTTCGTGTCCTTCTTGTCTCTGTGTCGTCGTTTTGTTCTCGCGCTATAACTATCGTCTTGCTGTTTCGGACTTGCATCTATTTTTGACACTTTATGGCTACTCCAAAATAGAAAAAAAAAACAGACCTAGTAACACACCTTAATAGCACCAACCTACTTTCTTTCTTTGAATGTAAGTAATGCAGACACACCTGGTGAGCTATTTGATAACGCGCTGCGTTAGGGGGTGCACTGTTTGGCAGGCCGCAGTTACATAAGGAGTACTGCACATTTAAGGCACATACTTGCGCACGCACAATACAAATCTTTTTCTGGCAATGTACAACCACGGTCACATCTGTTGAGAGCACTCGAGCAGCCGTTCTTTTGCTCTGTGGAGCGACATTTCGAGGTATTTTCGGGCTCTGACGTGGTGTGTCAGGAGCACGTGTGGCCTAGTAGCCAGGCTGAGCACGTCAAAGCCCGAGACTGCCTCAAGGTGTCGCTTCGCAGAGCAAAAACCAGCTGCTGGTGTGCCCTGCGCAAACGTCACCGTGGCTGTACGTTTCCAAGTAATCAGTGTGAGAGATGGGAATGAAATATCAGGTACTGCTTTCAATGGCGCTTGCAGTAACAGCCTTCATTGGGGCTTTTTAATATTTTCCCCTCGCAGAACAGAGCTCTGAATAAAAGACGCTTTCATCTTTTCGGTATTCGGCATCACTTGACGCTCAGAAAGTCACTCGAGCGGGATGAGTGCGCTGGCGCTGCGATCAGTCCACGAGTACTTTCAAATCAGCATTGAAAGCCTTGCTGGCATATGACGTAACGAGCGAGAGAGGAGAAATACAGGAAAGGAGGAACAAATGATGCATTCACGTAGTTAGAATGGATTCTTTTTGCCCACAGCAGCATTTATTTGTACAAAAATGTTAGTAAAGAATTTAATAGTAATAATGTTTTTTTTCTCTTCGTTGATCTCGAAATACGCGGCCCTCAATTCTCTCGGCGCTGGGATTTGCTATTTAGAGTGTTTCATTCGACCGGTGAACATTATTCACCTTTTTTCCCCCTTCAGAAAAATCATTATCGGGCACCTTGAGTGCAGTCGTATAAAAAGACGCCTTTCCGCAATCCAGACATAGTGTTGCACGTGTGCTACTGACAGCCCTAGCGCCGATTGCGAAATACACGGGAAACAAGCAATTTTTCTTGTCTCAGCCTCGTCTCTTTCCGATGTTCTTACAGAACGTTTTTCCTGCAACGGATTTATCGTTGCGCCATTGGCTACAACGCAGTCGTGGTCTGTACAGTCAGCTTAATCGGCGCAGAGCCAATGGAAAGATTGGAGGGCTTCTAATAGCCGCACAGGCATCTAGCAGCGGGGACTTTGCAGAGTAACAGCGTCCGGCTTATTGGTAATGCTGAAGAGCGTTCACTCATTTGAGCGTCGTTACTGCAAGTGTCTGGTCACGTACACGAGTTTGGTCGTAATGGTTTGGGCGAGTTAGCGCTACGTAACGTTTTCTAGAATTAGCACGACTCGGGAGGGAAGAACAAATTGAGACGACGACGAAGGTGCGGTGCATTTAGTCTTGTGCGGTGAGTATATGCAGCGTTGAGTGTATAAGGTTTCCGAGGCTTTCAATTAGTGTCGCACCTGTCTCCAGGCTCGTTGTTATCATCTAAATTCCGCCCCCTCTTTCTGGGTCAGGCCAATTCTAGCAAAGGGAGAAGTTGATCGCAAACAGTGCTGCGTCTTTCAGCCTACGAAAAAGAAAAATAACGACTGAACTAAACTGCATCTTGATTGATTTTGAAGGTCTGCTGCAATTCTTCTTCTGTGTTCATTTATTTTCCTATTATTCTTTATCTCACCATTATGAACATGACAGTTGGCACTTGTAATGAACAAGGAAAGCAACTGAAAATGAAGAGTTTTAGGTGAGATAGGTAATGAGTTACGTTACTGACGGTGAAGTTTTTTTTTTCTCGAACTGTTTCGATCGGTGCCAGGGGATCCCAAAGACACGAAGTGTCAAAGACCTAGCAGAACAAATGCGGTGGGTGGTCGTAGGCTGCAGCTTCCGGCGTGCACCTGGTTATCTTCGTCGTCTTTTTTTTTTCTCCCCATCCGCTCGCCCCGTCCATCCCCGACCGAGTCGGGGATTCCACTATCCTCGGTGAAGACGTCTCCTCCCAGAAGCAGCAGCGCCCTCCTCGTGTGTTGTGAAAACACCGGTGGTGGCAGCAGCAGCAGCCGCGGCTCCGACCGTGGGTGTGCGCGCCGGCGGCTCTGACCGAGACCGCTCGATGGACCGCGCAGGCGCGCTGCTACCTCCTGGGAGAAAAGAAATTCAGAAAAGAATCTCGCGGGTCGGGCGCCTCCTGGCGCCGGCTGGTAGCGGCAGCAAGCGACGAGCGCGGAAGCAGCAAGCGGCCATGGTTCCCAGGTTGCGGCGAGGACCGTCGTCTGCGACGACAATCGAGATGGCGGGTGGCATCGCAAGTCTCGTCTTCGTGTTCCGCACGCCATGAAGACGGCGGCGGGTGGCTGGCGGCCGGCCGCCTTGTGTGTGCTCCTGCTCGCGCTGGCCGCCGCGGCCGAGTTCACGCGCCTCAGCTCGCGCACGGTGACGACCAAGTACGGCGCGCTCAAGGGCTACATCGAGACGCCCGTGCCGCCCGGCACGCAGGGCCAGCAGTCCTCCCGCCAGCAGCAACTGCAGCCCGTCGAGGTGTTCCTGGGCGTGCCGTATGCGGCGCCTCCGACGGGGGCCATGCGATTCATGCCCCCCGTGTCGCCGGCCCACTGGAGTGGCGTCCGCATGGCCGACCGGCTGGCGCCCGTGTGCCCGCAGCGGCTGCCCGACATCGGCTCCGAGAGCGAGGCCGTCAAGCGCATGCCCCTGGGAAGGCTCGAGTACCTGCGCCGCCTGCTGCCGCACCTGCAGCGGCACAGCGAGGACTGCCTCTACCTCAACATCTACACGCCCGCCATCGGTCAGTCTTGTATACGTTGTGTGTGTGCGTGCGCGTTTGAACCCGCATGCTTGCTCTGTGCGACAGCTATATCTCTTTTCTTCCTGGCGATCCTCTCTCGGCTGCGCGTCGGTGGCGCGCACCGTCGAGGTGATGGGCTGATTCGCGCACCCGCAGAGGAAGAGAGCTCGTACAAGAGGAGTCGCTAGATCAGTCGCGAAAAACTAAAACAGCGTCTTAAGTTGCAGCTAGAGCGTTCTGCTAAGCGGTGGTTTTATGTACGTATCCCAGGTAAAACTGTATAATGGCAGGGTGATTCGTGCTGGACACCATGGAAGTTCACGGAGCGAAATGGAGATAGGTGCGAGACGTCACACGTTCTATCTCACAGTAGTGCATTGTGCGAAGATGCGAGATTTGAGAGGCTGTTGCCGTGACGTGACGACGTTCTTTCAACTTTTCTGGTATTCAGCGGTTTGTGTACATAGAAAATACGAATACAGAGAAAATGTAGAAGGAATAGGCTGACAAGTGCCACCTATAGTGGCACAACGCCTGCCTGCTCCTTCGGGAAGGGATGTTCAGCGGAAACACGTCGTGATTATTATTACGTAGTCGCGTTTTCCTCGTACGACTTCGCCAAATACCGACCTCTGCCCTTTTTTGACAGGATAGAGGCTCGTTGTCCTAGTGAAGGCCCTCCTGATATCGAACAGTCGGAGCGCGCCATTTGGCCCGTGTCGTGCAATTTTACGTGATGCCATTAATGGTGGTGCACTTCTTACTTTACCTTTGCCTTGCTTTTTTACTCTACCACAATTGTCTTTGCGCGTTTGTGTGCGTGTGCTTTTGTGCATCTGTATTTCAGTTCCGCTCGTGTCTGATAAATGCACGTTGTAGCGGACCGTGGCCTCAGAATGGGTCTGACTGCTAGCGCTTTACAATTATCAAAGTGCAGGGCCTCTACATAATGTGTTTCACTGTACTCGTTACCAACATGGCGATGACGATATGTGATCCATATTCTAATAAAGATCATGTTAATTTTATGCAAATTAATATTAATGTTTCAGCTTATTAGATCACTGTAATGTTTCGAGACTACTTCATACAACAAGCTTGCCAAGACTGGATGACCACGCTACCACCTAGTGGCTCTGAGCATATAAGTACCATTGTTTCTTGCAAATGATTATTATACATTGTTGGTTCTTGTAGGACATGCACGCATGAAGGATTAGTACGTAAGGATCCCGTTGATAATTGAATGACAACTTCTGTGGTTGTCAGAGCCTTTGCTTTAAAAAAAAAAATAGAGCTGCGGCTCTCAACGTAGCCGTACGTTTTGTAATTACTTGAGTCAGTTGCGTTCGTTGACAACACAAATGGCAGCGGTACTTTTTTCTTCAGTGAGAGGAAGTCGGAGAATGAGTATGACAGTAGAGAAAAAAGAACGATCAGTTTAAGCAGTATTTTCGCTCGGTTCGCTACTCCACGCTGAGAGATTAGAAAGATTGCACCGGGCTGTGACGGAGAGGAGTGGGAGAACGTGCAATACAAGAAAAGACCTTAAGGAAGCAAGCATTCCCTTATAGTGCTGATTGCCCTCTGCGTAAGGCCTGGCATGGCTTCCGTTTCTTTTTTTTTTTCGGTTGACGTCGTTCAGAAATCGGGGAGACAAATCAATGCAAGAGTACCCAATTCTTCTTTTCTTTTTCTTTATCCTTCTTTATCGCGATGTAAAAATAAAGCGTGAACTGACGACGACTTCCCTCAAGGCATCTTGCGATTGACGCAGGTATCGGATGGAAAGAAGGGCACGCAACGAGAGCTTTTATAGTTTGCGTTAAAGAAAAGCGAGAAAAGATGAAAAATAAAAAAAGGAATCCGATTCCGCCAGCGAGGAATCGGTAATGGCGATATTTTGAAAGCTGTTACAAGAGCAAAGCACCTTCAAATGGAATATAAATCAGAAAGACAGAGCGCGAGACGAAGGAACGTAGAGAACACAGCCCGGACTTGGTCGGGTCGGCACCACTGGCTTCTTGCCATGCGACCAACCATTCTTGGCTGTTACAGCGTCGCGAGATTTCGCTAGCAGGCTGGTGTATACCATCTCCCGTTTCGCGGGAGTTCGTTCCGCGCGTATCGACTGCACGGTCCCCCCTCCCCCTTCCCTCCCTTCGCAAGTTTAACTGCGCTTCTGAAGTCGGCCCTGGTAAACCGCGATTGCTCTGCTGCCGAAGAAGAACAATGCGGGAAAAGAGCTGAACTGAACAAACAAAGCGTATAGGCGGTGAAGCGCAAGAGCGGAAGGAGAGGTAAAGGGTGGATGCTTTTTTTTATTCCGTCGGATCCTGACGTGCGCGACCGGGTTCAGGCGGCGTCCTGGCACGAGAAGCGTATAAACGACGGCGACGAAGAAGCTTCTTCACTCGAGCTACGGCCTTTCCGCGCCTCATTTGCATGAGCCGCGCAAGTCGCTCGTTCTTCGGGCGCTGATTAAAAAGAAATACACGCTGAAAGGAAGGAAGAACGGGGGAGGGGGGGGTGCCCTGAAGTGTGTTCGAAATAGAAGCCACTACTAATCGAATGCGTGGCAATACGACTCCAGAGTGGGGGGCTCGTATAATTGTCGACGGCGTCTTTCCTTTCTCTTTTTTCTTTTATTTCTCTCGAACTCAATCGATGGGTTGCCGAGATGAGGATGCTCCCTTTTCTGTCCTTTTTTTTTTTGTTCGACGGAATCGAGGGAAGGAAGGAGGGCTTTCCCTGGCGCGCTTCCTGTCTGCGGTGAGCTTTTCGTTTGCGCTTCGACGAGAAGCGGCGGTTGTTCGCAATGCCCCAGTAAATTACGGCCTCGTCGTAAACGGTGACAGCGTCGAAGACACGGTGACAAAGACGGCATTCATTCTCGAAATGGTTCACTTAGTGGGTGTTGTAAGGGTCTAAATGCGTCGCGGACTGCTCGTGTGCCGTCGGCCTTGCGCAATTAACTTTTACGCTAAGCGTGAAAGAGCGCTAGAGATTCGCACCAGACGCCTACCGTGTGATGTAAGGCGCTTCGACCACTTATTAGCGGCCACTTTTGATGGGAACAAGTAGAAATATCTCGACGTTGCACATACTTAACGAAATACAGTGCTTTTATGACTGTGCGTTAAGTTCTTTTTTTTCTGTTTGTACTTTTCTTCATCTGTCTTCCCGCATATATGCACGATTTACATGAGGAATATAACACTTACGTAACAGGCCGAGTTCGTTTGAGTCACAAAGCACACGCGAATAAAATACAGCTCATAGCCGAAATCGAGAAGACGAAACGGGCATGAGCAGGACATGTCGCGCGAAGGCAAAATAACTGCTGGTCATCAAGAGTACACAGGCTGGGTTCCAAGAGAAGTCAAGTGCGCGAGGTGGTGGCTGTGGTTTACGTGGGCAGGTGAGACTAAGAAGTTTGTTGCTATAACGCGACTGCAGCAAGCGTGGGAGCAGGTTGATTTGAGGAACACCGTTGCCCTATACAGTGGTCGTAGACAGGCTTGTGATGATGTTCATTTAGGGGCTCAATTTTTATGTCTGAGATTTACGGCTCAAAGTCCGAGCTTGAATGCAACTGTTTGGGCGTTATTTTATTGGGAACCCGGGGCAAATGTGGCACCCGAGTGCCATAAGTTTTTTTAGCACGACAGATCGTATGGCTTTTCGTAACTTCAGAGCGCCGCATGTATGTGATTCTCGGTGTCCGGCATCAAATCATGGAGGCTACTCTCGGTCGTACGTTTTTTTTTTTTGAACGGAGCTGCATTTTCGTGTAGTTGCAACTAAAAAAAATGCAATAAAGACAGATGACGACGCCGATGCATTGAGCAGCATGGCAATAATACTTAACCGATGAGGGAGGCATCGCAACATGACACGCATGAACAGTGTGGTGGTGATGATTGGAACAAGGGGGAGCGCGTGAGTATATTATGTGCAAGGAACGTAGGTGCAATGCAGAGCTCTTCTCGGGACTGAATTTTTTAAAGAGGGAAGTAGCAAACTTCCCGTGAAGGCAGGGAAGGGCGTTTCCACATGTATCATGCAAACAAATAACACCAAAGAGCTTGTCCTTGATCATGCTGGTTATTCATGTCTCACTTTTTAGCACACCAAACAAACAAACAAACAAACAAACAAACAAACAAACAAACAAACAAACAAACAAACAGATAAACAAACGAACAGATAAACAAGCGAACAAATAAACAAACGAACAAATAAACAAACGAACAAGCAAATAAACGGACAAATGAATAAATAAATAAATAAATCATGTTGCTACAGCATAGTTATTGGTTTCACCAAGGATAAGAGCACATGATACACTATATGCCTTCTACAGAAAACGAAGATTTCTATGGAAAAGGTCATTAAGGGTTACTTAAAATCGGTCGTTTGTTTCGACAGTGTGCCATTTTTTACTTTGGTATAGGGCGTTCTTATCGCGTGCACATTAGACACTTTTCGTTCGAAGACTTACACATGCACGCTCATATTCGACCTCCCTTGCTGTACTCTATATATATGGCACTTTAACATAACAGCGCGGCCCCATCCTACAGCTCCAACGCTTTTCTCGCTACCTCCCCCCCCCCCCCCCATTTTTTTTGTTATCAGGAGAAGTCGCGTTCGCACTCCTTGGCTTAAGCGCGATCTATACGCCCTCTAAGCTCGTTCGAATACGGCGGTATTACTCGATGCTCGCGTCGCATCCCGCATTGAGTAACGCGGTTAGCCCATTAGGCTGATATATGCGGAAGATACAACGCTGGAATGAAACTCAAGCCAAAGTTTCTCCTCGTAAATACCTCTCGCCTTGCGCGGTTTATCTTGCGGGAATTCTAAAAAGAAAAACAACAAAAACAAAATAAGACTTGATCCTCCCGCGCGTGGCACGCACTCGCGGCTTCGAAAGATCTCTTCCGATCTTCCCCCCCGCGCGCGTTTTGCATTTGTGACGCGTGTCACGGAAACTC